TGAGAAAGAGAGAGAGAGAGAGAGAGAGAGAGAGAAGAAGAGGAGATAATGAAAAGCAAGAGAGGAAGGAGAGGAGGAGAGGAAAGGAGAAGACAGGAGAGGAGCAAGAGGAGAGAGAGATAGAGAAACAGAGAGAGAAAAAAGACAGAGAGGAAATAATAATAAAAAAAAACCTATCAGATTTTCCATGGGTAATCAACCCCAGGGATAAACAAGTTCAGGGGGGCATGGGGGGGAGAGGGACAGAGAGATAGAAAGAGAGAGAGAGAAGAAATAATGAAAATGAAGAGGAGAAGAAAAATTCAAGAGGAGAAGTAGAAGAGGAGAGGAAGAGGAAAAGCAAAAGTTTCAAGTTCCAAATCTATTATATTTTATTTACAAACGCTTTATGATTTTTTTAAGTGCTCGTGTAGGAGCTCATGTGCCTCACTTTCCGTGGATAATCAACCCCATGGATAAACAAGTTCAGGGGCGCATGGGGAGAGAGAAAGATATACAGAGAGAAATAAAGAAAACAAAGAGAGAGTTGAGGGAAATACATAAAAGAAATATTAAAAAGGAAAAGGACAAGAAGAAATGAGGAGGAGAAGTAGAAGAGGAGAGGAAAGGGGGATAAAACAAAACATCTGAATATTCAAATGTATTAAATGTTTATTTGCAAGCGCTTTACGAAAATTAAAAGTTTTTAAGTGCTCGTGTAGGGTAGCTCATGTGCCTCACTTTCCGTGGATGATCACCCCCAGGGATAAACAAGTTCAGGGGGGCATGGGGAGAGAGAGGAAACAAGGAAAGAAATAAAGACATATATAAAGAAATAAAAATATAAATTAAGAAAAAAGAAGGAGAAGAGAAGAGGAAGAACAAGAGCAACAAAAATCAAGTTCCAAATCTATTAGATTTAATTTACAAGCGCTTTCTGAGAATTGATTTTTTTGAGTGCTCGTGTAGGGTAGCTCATGTGCCTCACCTGCCATGGATAATCAACACCAGGGATAAACAAGTTCAGGGGGGCATGGGGAGAGAGAGGACAAAAAGGAAAGAAATAAAGACATATATAAAGAAATAAAAATATAAATTAAGAAAAAGAAGGAGAAGATAAGAGGAAGAAAAAGAGCAATCCTCGAGTATATGCTTGTTTCGCTTGAGACATCCTCGACAAGCTTCTCGAATCGCTTGAGACATCCTCGCAGAATTGCTGGTTTCGCTTGAGACATCCTTGAAACATTGCTCGTTTCGTTTGAGCCTGCCTCCCAAAATTCTTGGCTTCGCTTGAGACATCCTCACAGAATTGTTGTTTTCGCTTGAGACATCCTTAAGAAACGTATCGTTTCGCTTGAGACATCCTTCAGTATATGCTTGTTTCGCTTGAGACATCCTCGAGTATATGCTTGTTTCGCTTGAGACATCCTCGACAAGCTTCTCGAATCGCTCGAGACATCCTCGAGTATATGCTTGTTTCGCTTGAGACATCCTCGACAAGCTTCTCGAATCGCTTGAGACATCCTCACATAATTACTGGTTTCGCTTGAGACATCCTTGAAACATTGCTCGTTTCGTTTGAGCCTGCCTCCCAAAATTCTTGGTTTCGCTTGAGACATCCTGAAAAAAGTGTGATCGCTTCGCTTGATGTTGCTATTTCAACATAACTTGATCTTGCTATCTCAACATAACGTTCCGAGGTGATAATGAAGTTTGGCCTCCGCGCCCCGCGCCCCCGACCAAACTCTTATTGGTCGACGATAAAAAACTCTAACGACTTAAGGGGGGGGTACATTATTATCGTGGGCATGGGGTTACGACGCGAGCGCACCTAGCTTGTCCTCCTCCCCCTCCCCCTCCTCCTCCTCCTCCTCCTCCTCCTCCGCCTCCTCCTCCTCCTCCTCCACCTCCTCCTCCTCCTCCTCCTCCTCGATCCTCGATCCTCGAGCCTCCCCCTCGACCCTCCCGTCGTCCCCCATGCCGCTCCCTCCCTGGAGCCAGGATCGAGCCGAGCAGAGCGGAGCAGAGCAGAGCAACCGTCCACGCGCGGGAGGGCGGCCGGGGGGCGGAGGCCCCACGGAGTCCAGGAGGGGCCCCCTCGGGCGGCCCCAAGGCGGGGGAAACTCGAGCTGCAATTCGGAAGCCCTCCACGGTGGAGGGCTTCGGATTGGAATTCGAGCTCGCCCCCCCCCCGCTCCCTGCAGTTCGATCGCAATTCGAGTGCCAGCCAGCCCCGAAGAGGATCCCAAGAGGCCCCTGGGAGCCCCCCAGGATGCCCCCGAGTAGGTCCCCAGGAGGCCTCCAAAAAAGAGGTCCCACACACAGACATCCGAGAGGCGTGAGGAATGGCCCCGAGGAGCCCTCAGATGCCTCCAAGAGGCTTCTGGCCCACGACCGAGGCACGGTGACAGGATGGCCCGAAGCCCACTACAAGCCTCGTCAAAATAAATTGAGACGCCGTTCAAAATCGAAGCGCCCAGGAGTTCGGGCACTTGTCAGAAAACGCATTCTTCAATGCTGTGAGGGTAGTGCCGGATTTCGGGCACCCCTGGGTGTGGGCCAAACACTTCGTGCCAGCATTAAAATACCGTAAATCGACAAAATGTTGCACCACTTTTGCTGCCCATTGGGGCCTATACTGCGTTGATCTTTCCCCCGCTCCCCCCAATCTTAACATTGGGTGCATGGCGAAGAGCCCTTGGGCCGCCCGGGGGCTCCAGACAAAATGTTGCACTACCGAGCTGTTTCGACCTGCCCAGACATTCAGGCCAGCGGGGAGGGGTGGTGGGGTGGACAACAGACGCTTATAGAACAGCGATGCGATCTATCGGCCGCGCCAGGTGGTGCAACATTCAGCCGATGCACCGCAGCGCCGACCGCGCAGGCGCCGAAGAGGAAGACCGCCGAGTCATTCTTGACGAATCTCGCCGCTCTTCCGCCCGCACAGCCTGCCAGAGGAGTGCTGCTTTCGCCGAGCGCGCTCCACTACTTGCAGAGTACCTACTCGCAAACGTCCGAAAAGCACCTGTCTGCTTCGATGTAATCTATCGTAGATCCCCCGCGGGGGGTCCAGGCCATTCGCGAGTACTTACTTTGCGAGTAGTGGAACGCGCTCGGCGATGCTTGGCGCGCTCCTCTTCGCGGTGCCTGCCCTGGCCCTTCGGGGAAACTCTCCCTGGCGGCCGGGGCCCCCGGCACGCCACGCTGGTCGCCCCGGAGGCCTCGGAGGCACGCTGTCGCAGTCGAAGCGGCCCAAAAATTGCCCGAGAGGCCTCCGAGCTGGCTCCAGAAGGCTCCAGGAGGGCCGAGGATGCCCCCAGACATCGGGCGTCTCGAAACAGAAATCGAGACGGAAGTGTTTTTCCGCGTTTTCAGCCTCTGGACGCCCTTACCGGGCCTCGGGGCACTCAAAAACCGACTCGGGATGAGAAACCAGTGCTGGGGAAGTGGTCAGAGGTCGGGGCCGCGTGTCTCGAACAAAATCGAGACGCCGGATGTCTGGGCCCCAAAGAGGCGGGCCCAACCTGGCCCTACGAGGGCTCGAGAAGCCCCCATAGGGCCGCCCGAGCAGGGCTCCAAGAGGACCCCCTAGAGGGCCTCGGGAGGTGAAGGTCATTCGGCCTCAGATGCTAGTGTATTTCGCACTGTCGCTTTCTTTGTGTGCTTCTGGCAGCCCAAGACTGACTGCCCCGAGGGGCCTCCTCCAAGACGGCCCCAAAACGCCCCCAAGAGGGTCCCAAGACAGGCCTCGAGGGCTCTGGAACGGCCACCGCAGGACCCCCCCCCCAGACGGCCCAGAGAGGCACCCCCGACGGCCTCCGAAGGCGCTGGGCGGACCCAGGAGCTCCCCAACGGACGGCCCAAGAGGGAGGCCCCGAGAGAGCCCGCGCAGTCCTCGGGAGGCCCCCAGGGAGGCCCCCCCCCAAAGGCCCGAAGACGAGTGGTCTCTCCCCAGCGGCTGGGGGAGCGTGCAGCCAGTCCTCCCAGCGTGGCTGCACCTCGCCTCGGCACTCCACGACGCGGGCGCTCCCACGAGGCGGGGGGGCGGCGGCGACTGTTCTCTCACTCCTTCGGCTCCCAAGAGGGCCCCAGTCGCCGTCGAAGCGTCCCAGGGCAGCTCGACTGGCCTCCAATCTGTGGCTCCAAGAGGGCCGAAGTTGCCTCCAAGACGTGCCCAACGGAACCTCAAGACGGCCCTTGAAGCCTTCAAGAGGCTCCAAGAGCTCTGCAAGAGGACCCCCAGGAGGGCCTCAAGAGGCAAACGCAATTGGTGCTCCTGACGTTATCACATCATCGCGTCGCCTGCCCGCGTGCTCGGCAGGCCCACTCGTGGCCGTACCTTCGCTCGACATTCCGGTGTTGGAAACAATGAAACAACACTCGTGCAGAACCTACGGTTTGAACCCCCCCAAGTGCAATGTTGGTTTCGGATCTTCCGATTTTGGGCCTCCGAGTGGTCTTCAAAGAACGTGCCAACTTTGAATTGCGGGGGAGGGGGGGAGTGTTGCTTAATTAACTTCTTCCCTCAACCGTTTCACATGCGCTTACCCAAAAGCCAGGGGGGGCGACGGGGGCTCGCCATGGGCGTCTTCGATAGTTGTCACCCTTGATATCGCGGTGGACGGTCAACTTCATGTGCAAATACTGAACGCTGGCTCCCATTTGCCGCGACACGTGCACGATGTGGTCGCAATTCATCGGGCCCCGCTCCTTCAGTTGCCTCTGCAGGCCCTCCACGAGATCGCCGCCACTGTACTTGTCCATTATAATGCAAATGAAGCACCTCTCATAGTAAACACCATGGACCCGGACAATGTTCTCGTGATCCAGGCTTTCCAACAAAGCTGCCTCCTTTCTGATCTGATCCACGGGCGTCTCAACCTTGTCGACCATCTTCACCGCGTACTCGAGCCCAGTTGAGCGGTGCGTGCACTCGGACACAACGCCGAATGCGCCCTCGCCCAAGGTCTGCCCGATCGCGTACTCATCGAGCAGCCGCTTGTCCCCAGGATTCGTCCTGCCTGAATCCGGGCTGTGGGAAGGACTGTCGACCGCGCCGCCTCTGGTCTTCGCCTTCGATAGCGCACATCCCATGTATAGCCGTGTGTGGTGGGGGAGAGAAGGACAGGAGGAGAAGAGGAGTAGTTTAAAGAGGACGGTCTTGCATGGGCATGCGTTCTTCACCCGTATCTCTGCTGCCCTCATCTTTGCTGCTACGCCTGCCAGGCATTTATTTGCCCCTTGGCCTACGCCAACACTTTCATATGATCCGTTCGCACAGACGCTACGATCTTAGGATTAAAGTCCGCTCAACATCGAACAAACACGTTATTCCTATTGCTTCATTTGCGCAAGTCCGCAGGGTAGGAATATACACAGACACGCACACACAACACACACACACACGAACACACATACACGCACAAACACACACACACACACACACACACACACACACACACACACACACACACACACACACACACACACACACGCGCGCGCGCGCGCGCGCGCGCGCACGCACGCACGCACACACGCACGCACGCACGCACGCACGCACGCACGCACGCACGCGCACACACACACAGACAGACAGACAGACAGACAGACAGACAGACAGACAGACAGACAGACAGACAGACAGACAGACAGACAGACAGACAGACAGACAGACAGACAGACAGACAGACAGACAAACAGACACACACACAGACACACACACAGACACACACACACACACACACTCCCCCAAAAAAAAACGACCCTCTGGATACCCAGGCCGCTGGACCTCCTGAGCGCTTGGCAGAGCTTTCCTGCCTTCCAGGCCTCCTGGACGCCCCTGCCAGAAGACGGGCGCGGCCCCACGAGATCCCCATGCGGCACCAAAACCTTTCGAGAAGCACTTGGGCAACCCGAAGAAGACCCCCTTGAGCGTCCGAGACCGCCCAAGAGACCCGCAAGATCGCTTCCAGAAGAGCCTCAAGACTACCCAAGGGAGCCCCAAGACGCCCCCCCCAATCACTCCAACTCGGGACCCAGTCGTTGACGGAACCGCGATTGGCACAGATAACCTTGGGACCCCCTTTATCGAGCCCCCGGTATTATTTAGAGCACCGAAACACTTAATCAATTCTGGAGGGGGGATACCACCGAAATGCCCCACTGTGATACGCTAACGCACGAATAAATAAATTAATTCCCGATGGAGGGGGAGGGGAGGGGGAGGGCGGGATCGTGGCCCTGGGAGCGCGCAAGCACCGTTATTCCCCCTGGACGGTGGCCCTGAGAGCGCGGGCGCCGTGCAATTTGCAAGGATCGTGACCTGGGAGCGTGGACGCAGAGCAATTTACGAGAGATCCTTCGGCAACCTGCAGGAATCCGCAGGAATCCTTTTTCAGGAATCCTTCAGGAATCATTTTGGACTTATGACTCTGAAAGGGCCAGAGGAATCCTTGAGGAGATCTTGGCGAAGCCTCAGGGATCCCCATAAATCCTCTATAAGTTGGCAGCAAACCTGCAGGAATCCTCAGGAATCCTCTGGGAGCCCAACAGGGATACTGAGGAATGTGTGCCAATGCTGAGGAATCCTTTGGAACCTTAAGAAACCCGACGGTTCCCTCAGGAATAGAATAGAATAGAGCGCCAATGCGGGCGTGCGCCCAGGCCCCTTAAGGGCCAGGCGGGCGAGGCCATGGCCTCGCATGAACAATTGCGCGCGTCGGGCGCCTACTCAGAAAGATGCGTACCTCGCGAAATTCTGCTGGTCCTAATGTTCCCATTTCTCCGTTGTGGCCGGTTGTAGCCATGTGGTGTCTTTGGGGTCGTGCTGCATTTTCGGCGTCCGGCGTTGGTGGCGGTGAGGTGGAGAGTCGGCTGCTGAATGTTGGTAGAAGGCTAAGCTGCTCGACGCTGGAGGTCGATTGGTGGAGGTGGAGATGGAATATCGGATGCTGAAGGTTGGAGGTCGGAATGCTGAGCTGGTGGGCGCTGGAGGTCGGGAGGTGGAGGTGGAAGTGGAAAGTCGGATGCTGGAGGTTGGAGGTCGGAACGCTGAGCTGGTGGACGCTGAAGGTCGAAGAAGAGAGTCGGATGCTAGCGGTTGAAGGTCGGAGTGCTGAGCTGGTCGACGCTGGAGGTCGATAGGTGGAAGTGCAGGTGGAAAGTCGAATGTTACAGTTTCGCGGGGATGCCAGGAGTGGAGCGCATGACGAATTGTGTCTCCAGTGTCGTCCACATTGCGTCGTCGGTCGCCAGTTTGAGCCAATCGATGTTGCTCACGTCGTAGCTGCTCTGGGCGGGTCGTTCTTGCGCGCTATGGGATACAAGAGAATCGCGCATGTCATCGTCCCATCGCTTCTGCTGTCTTCCCAGACTTCTGCGCCCATTTTGCGAGGTATGGAGGTTTGGGTGCCAGTTAACCACGCGTTGAGACCATTCTCGAGGGGATTGTTTCGCCACTCTCGCGGCACATCTCCACACTTTTCGTCGCTGCTTCACCATCAAATCGCTCATACTGTGCTTGTGCATGAGACTTTCTGCTTGTCTTGTCGTTCGTTTTATGTATTCGACCCATGGTTCCAAGACAGCGCTCTCTCGTGCGACATTCTTTTCGTTGTCGGTGTTGGGGATGTGTGCTGTACTGGTATCTGCGTTTGGGTTGGCAACGGGCGGTCGATTGCGTGTGGCTTCTCCGTGTGTGTCGTCTTGGTGGGATTGCGGGTCAGTCGTCGTTTGTGTCGTGTGTTGGGTGGTTGCACTGGGCGTCGGTCTCGCGTTGGCGGTGCTGCGTCGTTGTGACAGTGCCTTCGAAGAGCCAGAGTCTGTGTTTCAAGAGGCAATGCTTCGCAATTAATTCTTGTCTCTGGGCTGCGAAGGCTGCCCAGTCTGCCTTGATCCGGTGCTGCACCTCTGTATGTACGGCGTCGTGGAAGCCTACCTGCTGCCCCAAGTACTTGACTGACCCACTGTGGTAAATCTCAATCTCCATGCTGTTGATGTTCACCTTGTGCTACAGAAGGACGTCGTCGGCAAAGCGCATGTTGGTGAGAGAGTAGTCTTTGGTGAAGCCGAGTTGGACGCCTAGGCTGTGGTTTTTCCATGCGGTGACAAGTGGGCGCATGATGTGCTCAAGAAGCGAATTCAAAAGTAGTGAGCTAAGGGGGTCGCCCTGCTTCGTGCCCCTCTGTAGGTTGAATGGGCGGCTGGTCGTGTCTGTCCGCACCATGGCTGTTTGGTCAGAATACAGCTTCCATAGTAAGTATATGTAGACTGGTGCGACACCTTGGTTCTTGAGTGCGGTCCCGAGGCTCTCGTGCTCAACCGTGTCAAAGGCCTTCTTAAAGTCCAGTGTCGCTATCCAAAGTGGTTGGTTCCATTCCCGCGCTCTCTCGCGAAGCATGGAAAATGAAGAGGTGATCTTGCGTCGAACGTCCCGGGCGGAATCCAGCTTGGTCTGGAGGCTGTTGTTTGTCCAAGAGCGGTTGCAGTCTATTGTGCAGAAGCTTGCTGGAAAGCTTGTAGAGCAGGGGTATGGTGCAGATTGGTCTTTAGTTCTGGGGTTGCGCGAGGTCGCCTGCTTTCGGGATTACTGTGATGACTGCCTGTCGCCAGCTCTTCGGAGTAGGCGCATCAGGTTGTATGACAGTGATGTATGATTGGAGTACGGCTCGTTTGAGCTCAACGGGGGAATGCTTCAATATTTCGGCTCTGATCCCAATCGCGTCGGGCACTTTTCCCCGCTTGAGGTTGGATAGTCCCTTGTTGAACTCATGGATCGTGAAGGGTGGCACCGTGTCGTCAGAAGCCTCTGGTGGTGAAGATTGCCGCGTGGAATGGTACAACTGCTTGTATCTGCAAAAAACGTTCGCAATTGAATTTCTGCTAATGTGCTTCGTGTCGTCCTTGGCGCGCATTTCCGTGATTAGTGCACGTTTCCGCCCTGATTTGATGCTCGTGATGCGCGTAAGTCCACGGTAATCCTCGAGAACGGTGCTGATCTGAGTACGCCGTGCTGCACGTTTTTGTCGTCGTATCTCTTGTCGCATCTCTCAGGAACCGAATGCAATATCAGGATCCCTGCAAGGATCCTTCAGCAACCTGCAGGAATCCTCTGGGAAACTGCACGGGAGTCAGGCTCGCACGGGCGCCACGCTCCCAGGGCCACGATCCCTCGTAAATAGCGCTGCGTCCGCGCTCTCGAGGCCACGATCCTTTCTAACTTGCGCGGCGCCCGTGCTCCCGGGGCCACGATCACTCGTGAATAATGGCGCCAGCAGTCTCTGAAGTCGCTGCGTCCGCGCTCCAAGCGAGTAGATCCCTGGGAGATTACAGCACGTCCGCCCCCCAATGACATGAGCCATTGCAAATGACGCTGCGTCCGTGCTCCCAATGGGCAGGATCCCCTGTAAATTGCGCGGCGTCTGCGCTCCCAATGGTCACGATCCTGTGTACATTGCACTGTGTTCCCGCCCCCCGCCCCCCCTAGGGCCAGGATCCATTGCAAACTACGCCCTGCTCCGCCCCCCAGGGCCAGGACCCCTACTAAATTACGCTGTACCCGCGCTGCCATGGCCACGCTCCCTGGTAAATCACGGTGTTTCTGCACTCCTAGAACCACGTGGGCATCCTGGGGCGCCGACTCCCCTCACGTGCTGCAAACACAGCGTTTCGCTCGAGACATCCTGGATGATTCTGCGCGCAGGACGCACCAGGCAACCTCGAGGAAGTCTGAAGGAAACCTTGACGAAGCCTCAGGAATCCGCCAGGAGTGGGCAGCAAACGTGCAGGAATCCTCGGGACTCCTTCGGGAACCCCACAAGAATCCTCTGGAATCTGTGCCAATACCGAAAAACGTTCGGAATCATCAGAAACCCTGCGGATCTGTCAGAACCCCCATGAAGCATCAAGAATCATTCACGAATCTTCAAGGATCCAAGGATCCTTCAGCAACCAACAAGAACCCGCAGAAATCCGAAGGAATGCTCCAAGAATCCTTCGGAATCCGACCGCAGGCACACACACA